TAAAAGTTCGAACCATAACTAATATTAATATTTCTCGTAATATGTTTCTCGTAGATTTATAATTAATATAGTTATTACCATAAATAATATTAACTTGATTATAATTAAATTTAATAATACGATATTTTATGAAGAGTAATCGATTCAAAAACATATAGAAGCAAAATGTATAAAATTTACAAAAAATTTAAATCCTATGAAATTAATATTAAAATCTGCAACATAATTACTGATAGATCTGTAAGATTCATTTAATTTACGTTACTTAAAAGGCACTATAATTTTAAGAGACCAAAATAACATAACCTGTATGTAAAATGAATAAACGCTAGTGTATTTTAGTATAATAAGAATAATTTAAATTTACAAATGTAAAGAGAACTTTTGAGAATTATTAACAAGGAGATTTACTGAATAAGATGAATAGACTCCTCATCAGCTCTGAAAAGTTAAGCATTAGATCTCGTTCGAAAATTTTAACATTTATTTATTCTATGTTATGCACATATCAGTCGCTGTTTGCTTGTTAAAATGTTCTTTCAAAATGTGAAGGGAAAATGTATTCATCGTCAGATTGAAGTTGAGATTAAAATAAATAAATCAATGTCAAGACTCTTAACATTACACTTCGTAAAATATTGAATTCGACATACATTCCGTTTTGTTGAGCATCGCAATGTGACTTGTGACTACGATAAGGTCAACATGCTGGGAAGAAAGAAACTACAAGAGAATCGGTTCCTATTATAGATCGGGTTATATCGATCCTTTTGATATCGATACAATAATTTCACACAACAAAGCGTCCAGGGTAAACCCTACTATCGCTATTACATTCATTATTTACACGATCGCGGCGCGTACACTGCGTACACACGCGAATTACTATGCGCCTACATTTTCCACGGAGCACGTGTTTACCTCCGTATGTGACAAATACGCGATCGTCCACGTGCATCAACGTGACGGATGTGGTGGCCGGACGCAATGTGGGGCACAGTAAGGACAACGACTTGCGAAACTCGCAGGTTTTGCGTTGCATTTACGTTGATTTTCAAATACTTCTTTTATTGCTCATTTACTGCTACTTGTATACGTCCCATAATTTATTTACAGAAAGTTGCAAATTGCAAATATTCGGACAAATCTATCACTGAAAGCTTTAATTTTCAACCGTGTTGCATATAATCGTGAAATATCTACATGATGAACATGTTTTAATAAATACAATGAAAAAAGTGCACAATTATTATAGTTTAACTATAATTTATAGTAATTTTTGCTGACAACTGACTATGTTTTTTTTAGTAGAACTGTACAAATAAATACAATTATTATTAGTGAATAATAATTATATTTGTATATATTGATGATAATGATTTAATAACGCGATATTTTGAACAATCAGAGTGCATTCAAAAGCATATAAAATATAAAATTCACAAAAATTGTTATCGTTACACACAGAAAAATATTCTATTGCTAAGAAAAGCGATTGCTCAATTTACTTTTTTTTTTTTTTTAAGTAACTATTTTCTTTAACAAAGAATATTTTCTTAATGATAATCTTAAAATGTATTTGTCAGAAATTGTAAAAAACAAGGCAAAACAAAAATTTATTTTCTATTGAAGAATATTTTTTATAAAATTGATTGAGGAAGCGACTTTATGTAACAAGCAAATCGAATTTGTTTTAATAATCTTGATTGAAGTATTAAACTTACAAGGATTCAAAATACACATATTTTGAATAAATTTGATGCTTGCGATTAATTTATGCTAGATTTGCGGATAAATTATTTTAATATTTAAAACAAGTCATTACGTAGAGTATGTATTTTTCTTTTCTATGTATAAGAATTCTATCGCAAGCATCTGTTTATATTGTTGTGTTATTATTCTAATCAGACTGTGACTTAGCTAACAACAGGCTCAGCCAAATATTTCCGAATTTCTTGACACTTGCCAATTGGCTTGCGAGTTTCCTATCATTTTGTTTGCAATTAGACGCCTCGGAGAGCACATAGTAGAATCATTTACATACGTATAATCATTATTAAGTAGCGAGCACATTTCAATACAGTCTACTAATATTACAATGAATACTACATATATTTACTTTATACTGTTTGAAATTGTTAGTTCATTTCACAAGAATTCCGATAACCTTATCGACCAAAAATCAACAATTATTAAGCAACAGATTCCATTCCATGCCTACGAGGACAATTTCATAGTTTTACATAAAACACGATATTTTGTCGACAAAATATAAATTTATGCTTATGAAAAGATATTAAAAAGTGTCGTTGCATAGTTTGATTATTATCGTTTAGCGAGGAAAATGAGAAAGATATCAATTTTATAAATTTCGACAATATCGATCGAGAATTATTTCGGGCGCTCGGAGCTATTTTGTAGAGGCGAAACAGATGTATCGCAGGTTTGAAAGAGGAAAGGGGACTATTTGGTACCTGATGGGGGACCAGGTATACAGGCGAAACAACTAGCAGCATCCTGGTCGAGACGCAAAGCCAGCTTTCTCGCTCCAGAAAATATCACTTTCAAAGTTTCTACTTACAATAGTAACGTTCGACGCAAATAATTCACTTATTTCATAATTTAAAACCGTTCAATACACGAGAGACACACGAGAGAAATCAATCGGGTATAAGCATCGAAGCGCAATATTTTTTTAATTAATTCTTCGACTTCAGTTTGTACTCTAAACATCGTGCATACAAGAACAGTAAGACATTTTTTTTTATTCAAGAGTTTTTCCTATAAATTTATATGTTTTCTGTTAATGAATGAAGTAAATCG